TTTTTTTTTTTTTTTAAATGGCGAGAAACGCGACAGAGACAATATTCTTGCCCGATATTCGCTTCGTACCTAGGCGATGATACCTAAAAATAAGCGAAATTTCATCGATAAAGAATTGATTGGACGTAGCGACGGAAGGTCGAATCAATGGGCTACTTTTACCAGCTTACCAAGTTATTTCGCTGTCTTTTTCGCCATATCGGAAAACCGTGGTCGGCCATAGTCACGTGACTATTATCCCCGTCGGTTAAACGCATTAGCAAGGCCGCATAGCTAGAATTTTCAGCCGGCGATCTCTCATCTACGCTTTGAACGCGTGCATCGTGATTCATCGTGATATTTTACGCGTATTCGCGATCCTGCCGATGTGCTTTACCTCCTGATTGCAGTTTGCTCGATCAAATTTTTTATCGCCGGATGGCTGCGCTCTTCTTCGTGAAATCGATTAACATGACTCGTCCGTGTAGCCTTTTGTTCTCCGACTCTGTTCGTGCGCGATTCAAAAAAAAAAAAAAAGGAAAACATCAAACACGGTTTTTTCTATCCGACGAAGCTAAGTCGTGGATCGCGACCTATCGACTATTTTTACCGATCTGCTCTAACGTCCACGATTGCGACCAAAAATCGTTGCCTCCTTCAAGTATAATAATCTCTTGCCAACGTCTTCTCCGTTTCTTTCTTTATCGCGTTAATTGGTAAAAATCGGCATACGTTGTCGCGTCGGTCGTTTTTCCGATTGCCAATTAAAACGATCTCTGCCCTCCTGGAGAACGGTTTAACGACTCGCTGCTCGATCATGCGTGCACGACACACAGTGTAGGATCTCATAACTCTTTGCATTCACCTTTGAGCATCCTTCTTTCTGTTCCTCACTTTGCTCTTTCTTTCTTTTTCTTTTTTTTAGCATCTACTATTCACACATTTTTCCATCGAGAGTCGACTAGATGCTCGCGTTTAATTCGTCCCGCCTGTGGATGTTTCCCGGGTCATTTTCAATTACTCGGCGAGAGATCTTCCTTCGACAGGAAGGATCGAGCGCTGATAGAATGCAAAGTGCAAGCACAGGCGATCTTTCACGCCAGATAGCGGCAGCTATCGTGATTTAATTTTTGAAAGAGTTAAAGGGGGTACTTTGCCTCGAATGTTTGATCAGAAATAGATTGGAAAACAAAAGACGAGAGGGGAACGTTCGTGGGAATAGTCGAGCGTGTTTGAGAAACGATTATTCCAACTGGACATGATAAACAAGTTGCCCTTGATTGTTTCGAGGATCATGGATTTCACGTTGTAATGAATGGGTATAGATCATCGCATCACGGATGTTCGCTTTAACAAGCAAATAACGACATTGCTTTAACGTCACGGCCTTCTATGTTAATTATCTTACCCGATAGCACGCCGTACTCTGAAATTGTTACGATTCAGAAAGTCGCAACAATCTCGTCTAATGATACGATCGTTAATTTTTTAGTTTTTTATTTTCTTATTCGAATCTGTCACTCGTATGCGTGCGAAATGCTTCGCAACGATGCGGACCAATACGAATTTATCGTTCTGGCCCCCAATACTTGCCACTAGTCCCATTCACGGGGGACAATTTTCGATGTTTCGGTGACAGGACTAGAAAACAGCAGCTTACAGAGAAGATTCATTGCCTAATCTGTCGCGACTATTTTCCATTATTTTGCATTACCATCAAAGGCCACAGTGATGAATGAGGGAACAAGTGGCGATGCGAGTTTAAAGTTCACCACCTAGGTAAATCAATAACCTACGAGCAAAACGAGAT